GGGTGGAAGAATCAAACCTGGGTTGTCCATATGCAAGGCAAATTCTCTACTCGAAAATATATAAAAACATATATAATATTTTTGTTTTAAAAGATATTTGTTGTTTAGTTATTCTAGATTATACTAATCCTTTGGCTAATGTATAGACTTTCTCAAAGGTTTGTGTCTGAAATTAAGTCAGTGCTAGGCAAAATACTAAATCAAATTATTTTTTCTCCTAGTATATTTTCATGAGAAGCATCAAAATTGTTTCTTGAATTAGAATTTCCTATTGTTTTATTTACCCTAATGCAGAATATTTTTACTTACTATAAATTCATGGATTCTTTTGGATGTTCCCTGTTACATGCTACTGCAATATGAATAATAGTTAGAATGATGACTGAATATCTAGGATGGTGATGCATGTATGAAGTTAAATCATGAAATATAATGGTACTGTTGTAATAGATCTAGGAAAATACTTTGTGGAAAAATAAAGATGTTTACTGCAGAACCTACATATAAAATATTATAAAATATCTTAACCTACATGTTTTTGCTCCAGAAATTTTTTGAAAGTCATGAGTTGTATCCAATGAAGTAAATAACTCACAGAAATAAGTCACCTAAAACAAGATACCTGTTTTTTCTTAATTTTTTTTTTCTATTTTGGACCACACCTGGTGGTGCTCAGGGCTTACTTTTGGGTCTACATTCAGAGATATTTCCTAGAGGGGCTCATATGTGGTACCAGGAGCTCAGAAGGCGTACCAGGTCGTCTGTGTGTGAGACAGTGACCCTGCCTGCTGACTGTCTCTCTCACACCAGATAACTACCTAATATTTAAGTATGGGAGGTCTGAATTGATATTTCTCAAAGGAATGCTCATGGCCCTCAAGCGCATGAAAAAATTTTCTGATGCCATCTATTAATTATGCAAGTCCAAAATTTTAAAACATAAAATGTAGACATAAGAAAAAAATTTAAATTGGTACAGTTTCTTTAGAAAATACTATGTATATCTACAAAAGATAATTAAAAATAGAAATAACAGCAGATAAGATTATACTCCTAGGTATTTTTCTGAAGAATATAAAAGTACTAATTTGAAAAGATATTTGTACCTGATATTCATTACCTCTTTGTTGACAATTGCTAAGGATTAAAAAAAAAACATTCTAAATGTTCAGTAACATATGACTGGATAAAGAAACAGTGTAAATTCACAGTTTAAACTGGTCAACTATATAAAAATTATGTACTACTCGTGTATATAAGAGTAAATTGTCCCTTTATGATAACATTGATGATACTTGGTGTGATTATACTCATCAAACTATGTCAGAAAGGGAAAGAGAGCAGATGGCTTCACTTACATGTGAAATATAAACAGAGCAAATGAACTATTAACATTCACACACTACAGACACACACACACACACACACATGACACTATTCAGACTCTGATAGCAAAGTTGTAGGTATAGAGGAGAGATAAAAAGAGGATTAGGCTGATTAGAAATTGCAGTTATAAATGTGGTTAGAATTGATCAGTCAGGAAGGGGTTTATGGTGTCTAAATATTAGTGGTGAGTGATGTGATGCATACCTTTGTAATATCATAAACCTATAATAAATAGTGAAAGGTGAGTAATAAATGTAATGCCATGAAAAATAAAGAAAACAGCTATAATCAAGTTTGGAAAGAAATTTCTCAGAATCCTGGTTAAAAAATAAGTGAAGCGGACTGGAGCAATAGCACAGCGGAAAGGGCATTTGCCTTGCATGCGGCCAACCCGGGTTCGATTCCCAGCATCACATATGGTCCCCTGAGCACCGCCAGGGGTGATTCCTGAGCACAGAGCCAGGAGTAACCCCTGTGCATTGCCGGGTGTGACCCAAAAAGCAAAAAAAATAAAATAAAATAAGTGAAGCTCATAGTATGAGTTTCACTTGAACATTTGCTTAGGTGTTTCATGGTATAGTAATATTTAGTGAACCTGGTGAGGTACTTAAATTGGTGAAAATGAAGGCTATATCTCCTCTAATTAGTTACTAAGAACCACAAATAATAAATATTATTACATCATCTATTTTTAATACTGCAAGATGAAAATTTCAGTGCCCAAAGATAATGACTAAGTCATCAACTCAGTTTCTTAGGTGTTCTATGTACTCATAGCATGTGTTTTCAGGAAACTTTAGATGGACAAATTTCAATAATATTCAGAGTAGAAAGAGAAACATGAATTATATCACATTATAAGCAATCACATACTCTGAATTTTTTCAAAAAAACTACTTTTTTTGGCAAATAGAAGACTTCATTTTACTAGATATAACACTGTCTTTGGTTTGATTGTGCGTGTGTGTTCTTTTCAGATAAACAATGGTCACCATTCTGTCTTTTAGGATAAGAAGATCAATTATCTGATGTCTCCCTTATTTTATTGAACTCCACAATGGGATGGGAATAAATGTTTTTGTATTAGAACTCTATAACTGAATTTCTGTGTTTAAAAGATAATAAAGTGATTTCAAAGTCTTTAGAAAATTTCAGGTAGCAGAGAAAAGAAATAGAAAAAGTGTAGGCCTGAGGTAGGGTTTTGAGAGGAAAGGTTAAGTTGTGTTATGTTAGGGAGGGACTTGTGACTCGTCAAATGATGCTTTTCAGTTAACTGTAATGAAATTGTCAATGTGACTTCTTTTTTTAACTGTCCCTCTGACAGTTTATGTGAACTCAATTTCATATGTAAGTTATCTTGAAAGTAGGAATATTTTAGGATATTCAAATTGTAAGTGGCAAATCCAGGGAGGAAATGATTGTCTGCGGATTGGAGCATAAGAGGAAAACCTCTTTCTATATGCAGTTTGAGGGAATTGATCACCGTTTATCTGAACTACAATGAAATCTTCAGTGAGACCTTACCTGAATATCTAACCCCCTAGTTGAATCAATACTGAAGAACCTTACCACCCTGCCTCCAATTGTTAGACAAACTGTGCAGGGGAGAAAGAATTACCCTTAATAGAGCATATTTGTTTCAGTCTGTGGGCCAAATTGCAGATATATTCACATTCATTTTGTATACTTAGGTGGGGCATGATTTGAAGCCACACCCAGCAGTGGTTAGGGCTTCCTAGGTTTGTAGTCAGGTAACACTCCCTGGTGGGGTTCAGGGGCCGTATGTGGTGGTGGGGACTAAAACTGGGTCAGACATATGCAAGGCAAGTACCTTACCTGCTGTACTGTCTCTCTGGTTCCTCTATGTATAAAGTATCAGTGTTACGGTTTTGTGTTTAAATGTTTAACTTTTAGTACACAGGTCTTAAAAAATTTGGAAAGCAAGTAAACATTGATATTCAGCTGGAAATCAGCTAGGGAAATGTTGGGAAAGATAAGTATTAGAAAATCTTTAACTAACCCATGGCAGTATATAAATGAAGATGGACCCTGAATCAACGACTCTTTATGCCCTAGCAGGAGGTCACAGGTGAAATACATATTTACTGCAGCCCATGTATGTGTGTAAGTTAATTAAATTGGTTGGATTTTACTTCTCCTCTCTGATTGAGAAGCTGGGCACTAGATAAAACCCTCTTTCAAACTCCAAGCTTAAGTTCTTGGAGTTTGAAAGTGTGCTTAGGCTAGTGAGATAATATACACAGGTTGACGGAAATTGCTTGTAGAGAGGTATGAGTAAGCAGGAGAGCAGGAATGCTGGATTAATTTATGGTTCTTTCAGCCATGAAAGATAAGAATCAGATAAACCCTTTTAAATTAGTAATACGGTGGCCATAATATGAAATTGATAAAAAATTTGCTTTTGATTATTTAGTTAAGATCTCTTCATGCCATTTTTCCATTTAGGCCACATAAACCTAAAAATTACTTGTTTGTTTGGGATTTAGCCAAATTTGAAATTTAAATTTGAAATTTAGCCCAAAAAAAAAGAAGAGAAAAGAAAAGAAGCTCCATCAAAACACAACTGGTGTTTTATTGGAGAGGCAGTTAGAAAAGTTAAAACATAACTGGTTTCCTCCTTAACTCTTATAAAATGCATCTTGTTTTGCCTGTAGGACTTGTACTTGGATCCCAACTGTGTTGAAAATGCTTAGTTGTTTAAGTTTCTTTTTTAAACTGAAGTACACGAAGAATGCTCAAAGTCATTTAGAAGTTAGAAATGATATGTGTAAAATATTTGTCAGAAATTAACAAAGTATATGTATCATATGCTGATTTGCTCTGCACCTGTGTGGAATTAATCCGTTTTTAATAATCACAGAGGCGCTGTTCTATAAAAGTCAGATTCAATAAAAATATGTTGTTGATTAAACAGGGCATATGCAACTCATGCAGAATCAATGGTACTATAATTAATTCTTAACCGGCATATTTTTATTATATTCTTATTTACCATAGTTAAACTGCAAATGTAAGCTTATGGTTTGGTAAAACCTGAGCCAGTGAGAAGATTGGGTAGGAGAAAAGTTGTATGTACTTTTGTATGCATTTTGTATGTATGATCGACTTGTATGTATTTTGCTCATTTTTTTTACCACTATTTAAAAACTTTGTATTTTCTTAAACAACGTATTTTCTTTGTATTTTCTTTGTATTTTCTTAAGCCCACTTTCTTTGAGTTCTCTGCAAAATAGTACTCATCGGACACACACACACACACACAAAATCACTTCAGTGACATGACATAGTGGTGTTTTGTAAAAGAGTCCATGGCGTTTCTGTTCTTTTCTGTATTTTCAGGGGAGTATCATCTTCATTTAGCTGATTAAAATCGGTGTAGCTGAGATTTATTCCAGACTTTTTTTCCCCCAATCAATCAGACTCTCAAAATGATTTTTAAATCTATAAATGGCATGTACCAGATTTTTATTTCTCAAAGGGTTTCTACTTAGGGAAAATTTGCTTAGATTATACCCTTTTGTCAAATTTTCAGTAAAAGTTAAATCAATGCAAAATGAGTGAATTTGTATTTCTAAAAATACCTTCTTTCACAGGAAGAAGAACTAAGGAAGAGTGGGGAAGCGAAATATGCCCACTTGAGTGATGAGCTTCATGTATTAATTGAAGTGTTTGCCCCACCTGGGGAAGCTTACTCACGCATGAGTCATGCACTGGAAGAAATCAAAAAATTCCTGGTTCCCGTAAGTGATTTTCTCATTTTAGAAAGATTTTTTTTTCATCAGTTTCTGTTTTTTTCAAATGTGCCTTTAATCTTCACTGACATTTTTGAAGGAAACTCACATTGCAAACTAATTATCTGTAGAGTTAATGTGAAGGTAAAATAAAATAGTACAATAATATTATTGTACCGAGAATGCTGTCACATTATAATGGTTTGACAATAGTATTTGTCTTCAGTATATTACATTCCATGAAACAGTTCACGCCATGAAGATTAGAAAAATTAACAGATAAATGCAAATACACAATTAAAATTATATTCTTTTATATTTTAATCACTTTGTGGTTGACACATTGTTGACAAATTTGAATGAACAGAATGCATTTCCATGTATAATAGGGAGGGAAGAGATTAAATAGTATTTTAATAACATATTTTTAATATTTGAAAATATCAAATATGTTCATGTGATAATTTTCCCAGTGTTATTTTAAAATGTAATATACAGTTACTACCATTAATTGACTCAGAGAACCGTGGACATCATAAAAAAACAGAAAAACAAAATATTACAATGAGCATAACCAAAAATGTTTTTTTTTTTTTTCGTAAGAAACTGAATTCAGAATTGCAGAGTGAATAGAATTCTCTGCTGATTTTCTAATAGAGAAAGGTTAAGTGAATGAAACTTTTCTAAAGGTTGGCAATTTCGCATTCAAGGAAGAGGTCATTCAAATAGAAATCTTGGCATTAGGATTCGAGCTGGGAATAATATAATTAGAAGAGAATGCTGAGTAAACTTTTCTGAAGTGCCTGAGTAGAAGGTTTTGGCAGGGGTTAGGGATGGATGGTGAGAGGGGAGGAGGGTAAGGAGAGAAAATGAAAGGAAGAGACAAAGAGTGAGCTGAGATTATTAGGAATTTTTTAAAAAAAAACTTTAATTTTTAAACTAATCAGTAGATTCAGAAGAAATGAAAAAATATCAATAATGCTTTTGAGAATGGTCATATAACGTAGAGGCATCAAAATATACCCACTTAAAGTACATGATTAATTAAAATAATTGTGTTAAACAGGTTATAGAATAATTGGATAGCAATTATACATAAATAATGAGTAATTTCCTAATTCATATGCATACAACAACACCTGCATTGCTATCTTCTCTTCCTTTCACCTCTGAGTTCAACACCTTCTTGCTTTAGAGTAAGTGATTGCAGTGTTTTGCTTAAACCCAATATTTGGTGATAATAGATGTTAGAGAAAAGACTAGACCTCTAGGTTGCTGACGTATTTCTTGACTATAGACAGGCCATTTCAATAATTAGAGTTTGATCTTACTCTTCCTAATGGAAAAGGTTATTATAATCAACCTCTCTTGCACTTATTTCAAATATTAAATGGAATAATTGCACATGAAATTATGTAGAAAAGCACAATATAAGTGGGTATTTTAATGTTGTATAGTATATATTGGAATGACTTTGTGTTGATAACTTTATCATGAAGTTACAACATGTATATTGAATCTAGTCTATAGGCTATGTAAACTGGTTTTATAAGTGCCCGTATTTAATCTTCAATATAGAGCCCGGCAAGCTACCAAGAGTATCTTGCCCGCACGGAAGAGCCTGGCAAGCTACCCGTGATGTATTCCATATGCCAAACACAACAAAGTCTCCAATGGAGACGTTACTGGGTCCGCTCGAGCAAATCGATGAACAAGGGGAGAACAGTGACAGTGATTAGAAAATCATGATACTTTTAATCACTTCATATATATAGATATAGATATGTGTGTATATATGCACATATTTATATAGGTACAGATATTACAGATATATTGATGGTATATTTATATGTGCAGGACTAGCAGCATTTATTTTGTGTTTTTGTCATTTATCATCAAATCTGGTGCGGTGTTTGTTTGACTCTGTCACTGATGGAGTGGCTGAATGGCAGGCATCAGGAATAATACGGAGGAGAGAGAGAGATAACTTCCTGAGTTATCTGGGGTATAGTAACCTGGAGTATAGTCTGGCTTACAAGGTTTCTCTCTCTCCTTTCCTGGCCACACACCACCATTGTCTCTAGAAAACCTTATTTTGGCCCAGTGTGAACTGTTCTCTGCTGTCTTTAAGATTTTGTTTCTGTCTCTCTCTCTCTCTGTGCTACAGACATGCCAATCTTCAGTTTATCCTGAATCAAAGCTTACATCTTGCTTGGGGCTTGTGAAGGTTCTTCACCAAAATTTCAACATAGTTATCTCTGTCATTCTGGTCAAATGTTATCTCTACAGGAAATTCTCCCACATGTAGTCAAAGACAATCTGAAGTGTCCACCTTTCTCAATAACACTTGACTGCCTATTTTTGCAACTTTGCATTTGATTATCTAATTATTTCCTAACCCTCTTCACTTAAATATTTTCTTCATAGCTCTTAGCACTTCCAGTTATACTTTTTATATCTTTATTTATTTTTTGTATTTTCATCTATTAAAATATTGCTGTTTGGAAGGCAGGGAGTATTATCTAATCTCAGTGATTTAAGTTATGATTTTGATTTATTCCAAATACATAGGGGAAATAAATAATACTTTTCTGAGGATGAATAAATGAATGAAGTTTTAAGACCTTGAATTTAGCTTTTATTGTAAACTCCGTGTAATTTAAACATATGCTTATTTTCAACGACATATCTGTAGTTTTTATAATGCAATATTACTCTTATAATATAAAATAAAATACATATTCTGATACATCTCACCATTGGGTTGACAATTTTGCAGTGAAAATCATTCTTTTTGATAAAATTTTCACATATGCCTTTGCCTATTTCACTACCAATAATGTTTTCTTTCATCTTAACCAGAATCAGAAAGAGGAAATGAACCAATATTTTTATTAAATGGAATTTGATTATCTTAGTTTCTTTTGACTTTTGGTATTAAAATCCACAGAAATGACTGTATTTGGAGACTAAGAAACATCATATGTTTATAATTATAATTATTATAATTATAATTATAAACAGTGAGAATGATGCTAGAAATGCGAAGAAATCTAATGTAGATTGAAACATGTGAGTTCTAACATATATGCGCTTCCGTTTCAAAATAAAGTCTTTCTGTGGTTAGAACTGTCACCTTTCTTCCAGTAGTGTGTTTTTGAGAACATAGGCCTAACTTTTTTCTCTCCATATCGTATAACTTTCTAAAACTGGCTACTTTGGAACATATAACTCCTCATTGAATGTCTTCATGCTATGAATAAGATGGAAAACAAGAGTGGTTTAGGCACTCTAAATGAATTGTTAAAGACAAAAGAATGATTGTTCTGTAGGGGAAATTCTCACAATTCCCGTCTGTATCTAGTTACTAAAGACTTAGTAAAAATGAATAGAAGTACTTGTTAAAGAAACATCAATGACGTTGACATCACTTTACACTAATCCCTTCATTCGTGCTTGCTAACATATCTTCCAAACAAACAGATAAGTAATATGAAATTCTAACAAATGTGAAAGGGATCTAAAATACTCAACTTATATAGTGTTTAATTGACATAATTATCCCTCATAAACTGTAGAAGAGTGGATACTGTAGTTACTATACTTTATACTTTATTCTTATTCATAGTTCAGACAACACTGCCAAGTAGTTTTTCAAGGTATGCCACGTGTACAGGATGATATTTTCCTCATGGTTAATGTGACCCTCAGTATCACTTAATATGACTTTCCTTTATTTAACACTAATTAGCAGTTTGCCTCAAAATAATGAGTTTCATTTTCCTAAGTTGACTGACTCAATTAGTTAAGTTTTACTAATGCTTTATAAGTACTTCCCAATTGAAACATAATACATTTTCTCATAATTAGAATTTATGAAGTATTCAGCAAAAATCTTAATGGGTTTATATAACCTTTCAGTGAAAAGATGAAAGAGGAATTTCCACATAAATAGGAAATTAAAGTTAGGTCAGATTAAACAATGAGATTACTTTAAAAATAAATCACATTACTCCTTTCTACTATTTCCTGTCATGAACTCAGAATTTTTTCCAACGTGGTATATTACATGTTACATATTATACACCCCCTCTTTTTTTGGAGGGTGGACATTGGGTCACACCCAGCAGTGCTTAAGGATCACTCCTCACTGTGAGCTCAGGGATAACTACTGGAAGAGTGAGGGGACAGTATTGGAGCCAGATATCACTTCAGCTTCAGCTCTTCACATTATGCCATTTAAAGAAAATATGCATTATACCTCTGTACTTATATAACATTTTATATATGTCTCTGTGTCATTTTTGTTAGTATTCCAAGACTCAAAATATGACTCAAGATTTTGAGTCAATTCAAAACTCTCTCTCTCTCTCTCTCTCTCTCTCTCTCTCACACACACACACACACACACACACAAAACACACTGCATTATTCGAGTTTTTTTTTCCCCTGTATTAGATCAATACATGTCCAAGTTGCAACAGGGACTCTTGAAATAATGCTATTAGAGCATATTACATTATTTCAACTTTGAGATATTGGAAATCTATGTAGGAAATAACTGACTATGAAGGAAAAAACGAAACCTTTTTTTTTCATGGCAAAAGCAAATGGATGACATTCTTGTCTTCTGTTCTTCAAAGACTCACCCGAGTTCTGTAATGGGAAAATTACACTGACTGCTAATGGCAATCAGAGAGAAAAGTAAATAGAAAGAAGGAAAATATCACAGAAAACTGGGTATTTTCAGTTGATGAGATGTAAGAAGATCTAGACTTTCATGCATTGAAAATGTTTTATAAAGTAGTTCTAAAATGTAATCAATATATCTCTAAAATTTACACTGTACTCAAATCAGATGCAAAAATTTGCCAAAAGCTTTTTGTGCAGCTCTGTATATGGGAAAAACAATACAAATTCACCAGCAAAAAAAAAAAGGTTCATTGACAAGTGGCAAGAGTGTAAAATGGAAGAATTTTGATGATATGGGTTCAGAATTTTAGCAACAA